AAAAGTCTATCTGGAATGTGGAAATCTGTGGCTAAAAAAAATCAGCCAGGTGAGCCTACAACTGCTGTGTCAGCTAGTTAAGAAAATTAATCCACTGTGTGATGGGCAAAAGAAAACTAATCCATTTCTGAATGGACAAGACACTTCAAAAGCTTTAGTGGATCCGTCAGGAGAGTGGTTTTCATATGACAAGGAGAAATCTGATCATTAAAGAAGTGTCTGGAGAGCTGGCAGCTCCACAGCATTTGAGGTAAGAGCTCAGAAATGTTTCCAGGTACCTTTGGTAGATTTCAAATAGATCAAAAAGAGAACTAACAAATGCTTATTGGGGCTACATTTCTGTTCCCACTTAAGAAGCAACTGAAAGAAGACTGGAGCTACTCTGAGTGAATAGAAGAAAATACTATTGGAAGAAAAAGTAAAACCCAGTCTGGAATACATGAAGCTCAGGACCATCTGCAACAGGACTCATCCCAATTCATCTGCCACAAATTCCCTGTAAAGATGACACAAAATTGCAAATTCTTGCCCTCACTGATGTTTGGCAAGTTCTGTTTCCCATTACAAAGCATTAGGTAAAAATTGTTCCATTCCTTGCCTTTCATATTTATTTTTGTTAACTTTAAGAACTTCTCAGAACAATACAACACTCTCCTCTGCATTTTATCAGAACTTTGGCATCCAACGTTGCCAGAGCATGCAGCGGTTTTAGCTAGAAAACAGGAGGCAAAGGTGATTTGAAGAATCAGGCTGCACTCTTGTTATAGTAACCAGTATGGACAGCAGGGAGTGGTGGCCTTGCTCTCGTGATGGCAGCAACACAAGGCCCGGTAGAACAGGGTCTGCTCCACAACAGCCGACTCAACTCCATAGTGGGGTGAAAAAGATATTGGGCGTGCCTTTTATATGCAGCCTGAGATTTATTCCAAATGGCATCTTACCCTCGTGTAATGTGTCAAACAGACACACACACACACACAAGCGAGAAGTGTGAAAAAACACTTCTGGTTTCGAAAAAAATTCTCCCTCAAGTTCAAAAGTTTATTACCTTTTCGTGACCAATTTTCTGACATGGAGAGATTAAGATGTTTCAGGAAGCAACATATGGTACACACTCAGTGTACGCTGTGACAAAATTCAAGGTGCTAACTGGTAAATTTTCAACTGTCTTTGCAAAACAGAATTACTCAAAAAAAGCAGACAAGCAAATACTGCAAATAACCCATGATGAGAAAAGTAATTTATGCTGAGACTGCCATTCATTTTGGCTAGTTCTGAATTTAAAAAATATATATAAAAAGACATTAGCATCATTGATCTGAATTGTTGCTGGCAAGGATCTTCACAGACATGAAGTGAAATGAATAGAACTAAGAAAGTAAGTGACATCAGATTGCCTCATGAAGTTTCAGCAGATGAGTTTTGGAGGATTATCTTACTTAACAGGTCTTTTCTGTGCTACTACACTCATGTAGCCATTCCATGCTGTGCTGGTTTTGGCTGGGATAGTTAATTTTCTTCACAGTAGCTGGTATGGGGCTCTGTTTTAGATTTGTGCTGAAAACAGCATTGATAACACAGGGATGTTTTCTTCACTGCTGAGCAGTGCTCACACACAGTCAAGGTGGTTTCTGCTTCTCACCCCACCCCACCAGCGAGTAGGCTGGGGGTGCACAAGGAGTTGGGAGGGGACACAGCTGGGACAGCTGACCTCAACTGTTCAAAACGATATTCCAGACCATATGACGGCATGATCAGCATAGAAAGCTGGGAGAATAAGAAGGAAGGGGGAGACATTCGGAGTGATGGCATTTGTTTTCCCAAGTAACCGCTATGTGTGATGGAGCCCTGCTTTCCTGGAGATGGTTGAACACCTGCCTGCCAATGGGAAGGAGTGAATGAATTCCTGTTTTGCTTTCTCTGCACATGCAGCTTTTGCTTTACCTATTAAACCCATGAGTTTCCTCACTTCTACCCTGCCGATTCTCTCTCCCATCCCACCAGGGCTGGAGGGGCGGGGAGTGGGGAGTGAGAGGGCAGCTGGGTGGTGCTCAGTTGCCGGCTGGGATTAAACCACAACACATGCACTTCCAGGTACTGTCATTTTTTGGTGCAAAAGTAACACAAAAGAAGCAGTCTAGCATCTATGACAGGCTTTATATGGATTAAGCACTGCAGAGCTAACACATGAAGCATCATCATAGCTGTATCTTTTTCTATAGAGTAACAGGATGAAGCAACATAATAGTATACTTGTACAGCAAACTCAATACCGGATGAACCACACAATTGCGTTGACAATGCTGATTAACTGCTCTACCTTGCATTTGCAGTGATTAATTTCATATGAAAGCATCCTAATAACAGATGTTCAGACTGAGCTCTGCTATTACACAACAGGACAGCAAATTGGCCAGTAGGAGATTTGAGTCTTGCTGAGATAATGGCAAATACCTGTCAGTACAGCAGTCAGTCTATTTCTACTTCCAAACAACCTTAAAATGCATATTTTGGTGCTGTTCGCACGGAGAAACCTGGAATGTCTTCAGCATATCCAAAGGCTAACCATGCAATCGGTGCTCTAGTCTGATGCTGCTAAAATTTTCTTTAAATACTTCTGCCTAACACAGAGTAAACCAAATCACCTAGAAGGAAGCCTGCTCTGAGGCCTTACTTGTAAGAGTCTCTCTCCAGATCTGCCCCCTTTTTCAGTGAAATAAAGTAGGTAATCATTCACACACCAAATATGTACGAATAAACCATACTAGTCAGTATTTATGACATGTTTTCTCTTGTGGAATCTTAAACGTAACTATAGTGGTATCGCAGTGCCTGTTAAGGCATCCTGCAGCACTGATTACAACTATTAAAACTTGGACTTTATTGCTTCTGTGACTTTTGTCCTTTATTTCACTGTTATCTGAATTATTTTTTCTTTAACTCATTCCTTCTGGAGTTTTGATCCTTCCACCCCTCATTCAGACACTAGGTAAGAAGAGCTTCTCAAGGGTATTATTAGGTGCTGCTCAAAGCCACTGAAGGTTCAGTAGGGCAGGCCATGTATAATTTCATTTAGTTCAAACACAACACAAAACTTCAGAAGCCTGTTCCAGTTGCCAATTTTATTTGAAAGGTGTCTTCTATACATTGTTTTATATATTGAAATAAATATGAAAGGCCTATACAAATATGAACACTTAAAGAGTACCAATACTGCCCTCCATTTTTTATACTCATCTCTCAATACTTAATGGGACAAAACTGCATCAAAGAGCCCGCATGTTTAGTAAAATAAATTTTACAAAATCTCAGATCACAAAGTTCATGTCTAACAGAATCTTTTAGACTGAGTTTCATTTTACATAGATGTAACCTCCAAAGTATGTTCAGCTGCCTTTGAGAATTTCACAATATAGAATTTCACTGATGTACATTTTCCTCAAGATGGACAGTAAAAATAGTTATACTTAAGTCATACTCCAATGTAGGAATTTGGCATTATCTCTTTTAATGACACACTGTGTTAACATAGTATTTCTAAAAAACATTCTGATAAAATAAAAAGACACAATCTCGCCTTCAAATAAAGCCCATGTCATTTAAAAAACTTCGGAATGGGCATTTGCTTTTACATAACATGATTCTTCCCCAAAGTTTAAAAAATTTAATTCAACGCCATATATAATGCTTTTGATATAAAATAACACCATAAAATAAGTAAGTTTTTTGCAAACTATAAATTATAGACTCTTTCCCATAAAGTGATAATATTCTAACATAGGGCATCATCCACACACACTTATGTCATCCCACTAATTTAGACATTTTTTTAAAAGAGTATAAAGCAAAGCATGTGTTTAAACAGTGGGAGGAATGGAAACTAAATTGAATACAATTGCTCTTTCAAAAGTTGAGGGGTTCGTTGTTGTTCTGTTTGTTTTTTTCAAGAAAAAGTCAACCCCAACAATATTGAAAAGAGACCATGTAACATAGCAAAACTCTTTTGTCTTTCCTTAAGGAATCTATCTTCATTCCAAAACTAAAGAGTTCACACATGTTAATTTAAGAACAGTAGATTAAACTTGCTGGCAATCAGAAGAAATATTTCAGGTATTTCCTATTTGGACAACAAAAGCATAGGTTTTAGTTCAGAAAAAATATAATAATATAATTTACTGTAAGTGCATAAAGTCCAATCCTGTAACTCTTTCCTGTTCATTCAATTGTTTTCACTTAAGGAAAATATATAGGATTTCCCTCTCAACCCCAATTTAATAACTTATGTAAACAACTGTGTTTGAAGAATATGGATGTTTAACAGTTTACATATATACTAGATTCAAAGGGTATTTGGGAATGTCTATCCTGTTTTTCAAAAGAACTACCACTTTTAAAAGGAGTGTTGTACTCATTTTTTCTTCCCTTCGAAATAAAGCTTTATGAGCTCATGGTACCAAACAGTACTCTCATTTCCACTTCTTAAAGTTTAAACGCTTGGCTCATTCTGTCAAAGGAGAATTTGCAGATTCACTGAGAAGTACACAGGACAAAGGGCAGACATCCAATATGGCTTGGCTTGGAATAGCAGCTGTGTTGTTGGGTTCGCATTCTCCGCATCGGAGTGGTTTCTGTAACAGATTTCCTTGGTTCACTGCAGTTGTCTAATCAATTTTCACTCCTGCAAACTCTTTCTTTGCTCACCCAGTAAAACTAAACACTCTCCACTGTAGGTATTGCAGGCATAGCTAGAGGTTCTGCAGGCCACAGGAGGCTGACTGTTTTCCAGCAGCATGAGAGTAACAACCTAAAGAAAGTTTTCATAAATGTTGCACAACGTTAATCCAGCCTGCAAAACCTGGTTACAGTGGTGATGACCAAGACACTGACTCTAGCTCTATAGCAGGTTGAACATTCAGGTTAAAGAGCAACCATAGTGGGGACGGGGTGGAGGGGAAGACAAGAGACTGTGCACATAAAGACTTGCAGTGTCTTTTTAAAAAAAAAAAAAACACAAAAAACCAAACACTTCCAAGGTAGGAATGCATTTATCAAAAACTAAGTTTTGCCCCATTACGAATGATTTCAAGTTTGGGTCCTGAGCTTGACATTGGAGAGGTGGAAAGGCAAGAGAAGTGTCTTATATTTTAAATTATACAGCAGTATCATTAGGACAGTATTTAAAACCTATTATTAGAAGAATGAATAAGTTACAAATACAACTTTAAGAATATTATAACTAAATAGTAGTTTACTCAGGAAGACCTTAATCTTCTTTCTTTTGTGTTTGAAACCGTTCCATTAAAGCCCTAAATATATTTCCTGGTAATTTCTGATGTTTTTCTATTAGAGCTTGAAGTGCTGCTTTTGTCTGTAAGGAAAGAGAAAAGTTTTTGGTCAGATTAAGTCATCTTTATATTGTCCATACATTAATACAATTTCTAGGCTCTCTTTCATCCTTTCAAATGTCACAGAACTACTGCAAGTTCAAAATACTAATTCTCCATATTTAAGCCCACAGTATGTGTTTGTGGGATCACTGCCAAGACCCAGACCAACAAAATAATATCTTTTATCTCTGTAGCTGTGTTCACGAGCGCTATTAGTGACACGCAATAGTAAAATGACAATAGAGTACATTAATGAAGAGACCTAGATCTATAAAGCATGTCAGTGCCTGTTTGCTGTACTGCAACTCAGAAACTTCTGCCCATGCCCAGGTTTGCATCAGTAACACTCTTCCAGTATGCAAGAACTTTGCTTCCACACATGCTCAGAAGCATGGAAACACAATTGTGTCTCAGCACGTTTGGCTTATACAAAGTAATTATCCCTGCAGCCAAGTCTCCTAAAGGAGCAGGTCCTGTAAAACACACTTAGACCACACCTAAAATATTGCATGACAGCAGCATTGACTTTCAGTCAAAAATGTAGTAGGCCAAGAAGTTAATGGCAGCCATTCTTTTACATAAAAGCTCCAAGGGGAGCATCCAAAACCAGGACAATATGCAAAAGCTATGGTGAGGACATGCCGTAACCTTCCTACCTTCCTATTCGCCCAGAGAATCACAGACTACCGAATTCTTAAGTCCAGAAACAGAACAGAGAATTCTGTCTTTGTAAACCAGCGGTCAGCAAGGGGAAAATTGATTCTTGGTGCAAGCTCCCACTGTTTCTCTGAAACGTGATCAATTGTTAAGTCCTGGGAGAAGGTTCCTGCCCACATCTCTTTATAGATCTGGTCGTAAGTGTCTCTACTGATCTAAAATTTCTATTTCTAAAAACTGTGAGCTTATTTTTTTCTATATATAATGGGGAAATGCATACTGTGCCATAGCCTGAAACATGAGGTAAAACATTAAAATCACTCTAGGAGTCTAGGGGATTCACATTTTAGGGGCCTTATCTAGCAGAATTTGCACTTAAGTTAGAAGTAAGTGACAGCTGGCACAAACGTAAGATGCCAAAGCATGTTTGAAAATCATTTAAACATACATTCTCACCTGAAAGCCAACCATTCTGAAGTCCTGTCAGACTGAACCCCCAAAAGAAACAATCAGTCTTCCACAACCAGGGCATATGATAATGCAGATAAACATTTTAAGATGTCATTTTGCAGAGATCTAATCAGAGGGTAAACAGATGAGGAGAGACAACTGAACTGACACCTGCATGGTCAAAGAGAAAAATCTCTTTCTCTCGAACGAAGTTTTCAGAATGCTAAAAGTGACCATCTGTGGAGCTTTCAAAAATGGCTATTTCAGCCCTCTCCATCTGACTGCTCCATCACTTAACTGCACTGTGTCTCTGCACTGCAAAATCTATTAATAAACTGAATGAACATGAGGACCCAACAATCTTTTATATAAACCACCTAAATCTCAACTAGGGGAACATTTGAAAGTTAATTTGTTAGGTGACAAGTTGGAGGAAACAGAAATGGCAATACGCTGTGCAAAGTGGTAAAATGATTTACCTCCTTTTTTTTAAGGTATGGAATTTCAACAGTTTGTGAACACAGATTTGCTATATTTGAAAGGCTTCATTAGTACCTTTCTGAAAAGACCAAGAACCAGAACACTTTCTCTGAGTGAAGTGCCTATGACTCTATTAACCCAGCGCTGTCTTATCTGACTGAACTTCTTCAGTCCCTAAAGCAAGTTGTTTCTCGAAGCAAATACAGGGTGCAATATTGACTTTAAAAGGCCTAGAAGATCTGCAAGGTGTAGTAATAAAAAGATAATGATTAAAAAGGGCATTCAGAGTTAAGCTTAAGTACAAAGCTTACAATGATTCCATCAACTTCTATAACTAGCTCCAAGGCAGAAATCACTCAACAAGAATATTCCAGTGTTTTCTGTAAGAACAGTCGATATTTTAAATATATATGCATATCTATCTTACCTTCGCAGTTAATTCCTCAGCAGTTATATTTGGTTCATATGGAATGGGTTCTCCAATAAACGTTCGAAGCTTGACCGGAAACCCACCGTACAAAGGAACTATTGGCAATCTAATACGTTCATATAGTGTCCTAAGAATTTCTAATGTGAAAAAATTTAGAGGGAAGGGGGAAAGGAGGAGAAGAGGGGGCGGTCGGGAGGAGAGAGAAGAAAAAAAAATAGAGAGAGATTGAGACTGAGATTATTCTGTAAATTATTTTTTTTTCACAGTATGTTTTAAAACTGAAACTGGCTTGGCAAGTAATCAAGCCCCTGACCCGGATTCTCAAACAACGTGTCATCTCAAGTGCTATTCTACCCTTCACTTTCATTTCCTAAAAGCTGCATTAATGCTAACATTGGACTTATTTCCACCCTAACTTGCTGTGAAATCTCTCCTCCAAAGACTAGCTGCAAAGAGAAGGAAGAAGAGGAGAAAAGCCCAGTAGCTGCACATTTGGAGAGGAAGGGAAGTGCTACACAGTACAGGTTACAGTTCAGCTAATTTTACAGGTTAGCATAAGAAAATAGGGTTGGAAGACTGTTCTGTTCAGTCCCACTGAGACCTAGAGGATCAGAAACAGTCTTATCTGCCTAAAGGACACTTGTGCTAAAATGCTGAATTGTTCTTTCAGATCACACACCAGTTGCAGTGAAACAATGTAAAAACAGAGAAAAAAAATAGGTATTTTTATCAGCTTTAAGAGGACACATCTTCTTCCCCACATGCCATCTTCTAAGCATCTAGCCCAAATGCACTCAGAATAGGTGCCTTGCAGAACGGGTGCTAATATTCCTCTTGCTCAATTTTAGACAAGAAATTCCTTTAACTGAAGTGCTGGCGTAAGAAAATGCTTACTGATCAAGATGTGGAACTTTCTATATACAACCTGTAAGAACTACTGAAACTGAAATAACACCTTCAGTGAACAACAGAATTAAATTCCTCTTGCACCTCTGCTGTAGAATACAAGTAGAATGAATGATTTGGGCTTAAATTTCTGCTTGTTTGGGAAGATTCTCCTGAACGCAGCAACAATTAATTGCTATTTGTTTTTGTACAACCTGACAAATGTGTGAATTATTCTGCGCGCCTACATCTGACGCCTTCGTTTTCTCCATGCAATATATAGCTTTTAATTAGAGGGGGAGAGAAACACAACTGTTTTGTCCTGCAGTCCTCTGATGATGATAACAAAGCCATACTTAAGGCAGAACATGTGGCATGGAGGAGGCTGCTTAGGCCCTTTCTGCTAGATAGTAAACTGGAGAATATTAAAAAAGGGAGTTTTATACTAGCAGATCAGCAGAGATGTGGGCATCTTATCATCCCAGAGGTGGATCCTTCAGACGTACACCCATCTATTCATGTGCTGGTTGGAAGTCCCAAAGAGATTAGGAAAGAGAGCTGGCAAATACAAGGTTTTGTGAGGAACCACGGGTTTAGTGCTGAATAGTAAACCGACTACAGATTATATATATTTCAAACCATTTGAAGTTTAAGTACAGGTAAAGGTGTAAGCAGAGTTTTAGGAGGACATTTAAAGAAATCACGTCAGATGCAAACCCGTTTGCTTTGAAGCAGACAGCAGAAAACCTAGAGTTGGCCTAGCAGAACAAGCAAAGCAAAACAGTACTCTCAATCTATTTGCCTTTTTCTGGCTCCTTTTTCCTTTATTCTGCTGCTTCTGTGAAGGCACATTGAGAGTAACTTTGATGAGCCAATACCACAACTAATGCTGATATTAAATCCTAATAACATCTCTGAACTCTAGCAGAGAGTAAACCTCCAGAAACAAGGCTGTGTCAAATCTCACATTTATATGGGGATTATTTCTACAGAGATAGGCTAAACACATATGGAAAAATAAACTACAAAAAAATAGAAAGTGTCTTACTTATTCCTCCTAATGTCCTAACGCCTTCTCGAACATTTTGTGTAAACATAGGAATGATGGGCTAGGAGGGAAAAAAAATAATTAAGAATTTAACGAAGATAGCACTATCTAAAAAACTTCTACCTCACTTAAACTCAACAAGCAAACTAATTTCAGAAGTGTTTGTCAGACAAGGACATATAGAGAGCAAAACAAGGACTTGTAAGTCCTTCTGCCACGTTCCACTGTGAGGTTTCAGGCTGGAGAACACACCATGAGATTTCAGCAAGTCCCTGTTTCAGCAAATCCATTTCCTCAAAGCAGTGCAGGATTTCAGAATTTATAGAGCATTTAAGCCTCTTCTCATCTAGCAGTGTTTAGACATTTGTGACGTAAGTGGTTAAACCTCTTGTCTAATTTGTAGTTATGCTCAAAGGGAAGAATTCACAGGATTGGGGCCTTAAACTGGTCTGATTCATCTCTGCTATGCAAATTGCATTGCTTCAGACATGACGTGTCATATTCAGTACATGTCCATGATTTATTTCTGCTGATGAATATTTGGAATGGTGTTAATATTTCAAATTTTTATTGCTGTTTTTGAACTTGCAAACAGCTGATAACATTTACAAGAACTGGAAGGGGGTCAACTACTACATGAAGTTTTTTTAATATCATTTTGTAGCACGTACTCACTGTACATAGCATCATTAGAAATACAGAACTTTTTATGGGATTTTCAAACATTCAGATTCTTTCAAACAAGCATGGAGATGAGCTAGTAAATTAAATACTTCAGACAGGTATCAAGATGGGGTTTTTTGGGGGGAAAAAAAAAGTCTGTAAATAATCCAGTACAACTATAGAGAATAAGAAGTGCAGTTGACTAAACTGAATGGTTTATTCTAGAACCATCTAATGTGAAACATTTTACTTTTGACATACAGGTAGAGATTTTTGCATGTACCAAGTTGGTTTACATGACAAATATTCTGGCAAACAAACTGCTGAAATGAGACAACTTCAAGAAGCTGAAGGTCCCAGTTTTGACACATTTTTCTTTCCATGAGGAGTTATGCTCATGATTAAGGGTGTCTTAAAGTTCATCTTTAATCTAAATAAAGATATTTTCCACACTTTCAGCCTGCCCCTGACACTATTCCTTTTCTACGTCTCTAAGGGTTGGGTTTTGGTTTTTTTTTCGGGGGGGGGGGGGGGGGGAGCAGGGGAGTGAAGCTGCAAGATATTTGCGAGTGCACAAAAGGAACTGAACATACATTTAATAAAATAAATATAACTAATACAATCATAGTTGAATGCCAAGTATGGTTTTTCATATGCTATTACAATACATTAGTAAAATCTAAATCTGTTGAAAATATCCTGTTTAAACTGTTGTTATTTTCCTTCTAAGAAAAGTGACACATACTTAAAATTGGGTCTCAAAAGTATTTTATTTCTGTATAAAATCCAGAGATTTAACTAGTCTCTCTGTGACAGTACCTAAATATAAAACTCTTGGTGTGAGACTTACTTTCAAATTAAGTATATGCAGACCTATAGACATATGCACACATCTTTCAAGTACAAATAAATAATGAGATTATTAAAATAGTTGCAATTCAAACGTATCATACACCTATGTGCCTTTCACAGTTGGTTCCATATGAATAATTATCTGCCTGCTGACCAAGCCCAATGCTCTGTGTTAGGACTGAAGAGAAACAGTTCACCCTAGTAAACAGCATCTCCTGCTGCTGCTGTATGCCCTAGACATCCCTTACTACCATAAAACTGCCAACACAGTACATAGTGCCAATGAGTCTATACTGTGCTGGGTCACAGTGTACTTCAGCAAAGAGGAAATATGGATGTATGGTTGCTTCCCAACCAGTCTGGTCAGGGGTTGAGTCATCACAACCCTGACCAGGTATGTGTAAAACAGCACAAGCTTGTAATGGAGAAATCACCCTGGGCTTCATCTCTCGTTCTTTTAAACTCTGGATTTCCTGACTACACTATTCCTAGCTGACTCTAAAGCCTTCTTATCGAAAGCAACAGAGTCTTGAAATGCAGTTGTGAGAGCAAGTAGAGCATACTCATGACACTCAGCAACGTAAGGCCAAATGTATGAAAATCAAAACAACTTTCCCTGGAAGAAAGTTCTAATAAGTTAGCGTTCTTTGCTTCTCTTCTGTGATCTGTCATACTTACCACTTTTGCATCAATGGCCACCTGAGCAAAGCCTTTTCGATTACCCCAGATAATAGTATACATTTCATCACTAAAGAGTGCTTCTCGAACTCCACCTGGGGCAATGGCTATCAGACAGCCCTTCTTCAGAGCACTGACACATTCTTCTTTTGGTCCATGCATAACTCCATGTACATCAAGTAATAGTTTAAAACCTGTAGGGTAAGATAATATCAATTTAGAAAGTGTTAATTCATGCTATCATTGAGTGCAGATTCCCAACACAGAACACAACAGCTAAAATGTACTTGTCTAATAACCTGTAACCCCAAATCAAACGCGTTTCTAGAGGGACTGAAGCATTAAGTCCTCCTTATAAATTTTGGACTAAAAAGTTGAAGATTTAGGGTTTTCAGTGTCTTTTTGTCACAGTAAAGTCAGGTGCTATCTCACAGTCAGGACTAAACTGGAAAAAACTGGCAAGCACACTGCGCCATCTTTCATGCGTCCCTTCAAATGAGTTGTTAAGTCGGCTCCAGGGCGCTGGCTCCTTGCCCAAGCTCTACTTTTCAAATGTAGCACAGTCCTAATAAAGTGCAACAAGAGCAAATACCAACAAATTGTTGTGGTTTTTTGTTTTGTTAACTTTGGCAAACAAAGAGCAGTCTGTGCACAAGAAGAAGAATGACAAAGAAAATGCAGCATTCTCTGTGTTACAGATCACTGCAGGAATTGACTCCCTGGTTCAGTCTGTGAGTACCCAGATGGCCTTTCACACAAAGAGGCATCTGGCAAGCCTGGATTGAGGTTAAGATTTTTCATTTACTGAAGTTTTTAAGTGTAAACTTACTTTACTCCTCACATCATCTTGAATTTGAAGTGTCATACTAACGCTATTCTTCAAGAACTAGCAGAACATAAAAAATTTGCTTACAAGCACCAAATGAGTGCACAGCTGATCAATTTAGATAACTAGTCTAACGTGAAAGAACATAACTTCCATAAACCTCTGTTTGCAGGAAAACAACCATGTTCACTTGGTTCAATAAATTTTAAATTTATACAGTATTTATGAGTACTGCATATCAAAATGGGAACTTTAGATGAATAAGCAGTATGGGAAAGATTACTCCTTTTTCTTGAAGTCTCCCACTGAGGCAAACCTTATCAGACATAGACAAGGACACACAACTGATCTAGTTGAGTTTGCCCCTTAATAACAGATCTTAATTTTTTAAACTCAGGTTAACAAATGAATAGTTGTTGTGAATAGCACAGATTTGTTACGCTCACAGACGCGCACACACACACACTGAAGAAGAGTGTGAATATAGTTAAAAAGGCAGAATCTGTCTTCTCTTACAGCCCGCATAAACCAAGGGCTTGGGAAGGACATCATGAGGCAGCATATCATTAGTTTATTCTTAACTAAACTCTGATCTCTAACTGGTCTTTGTAGTTGGTGTAAGTACAATTACTCCTGATTTATACCTATACCAAATCAGGATCTGTCCATAAACATGACAACAGAATACAAGCTGTGTTACACCTGTCTCATACTCTGCTGTGGATGAAGACTGCTAGTGCCACCAGCATTTGCACAGAGGTCATCTGAAATAGAGATTTCCAAAAGTAATTTAATTTCTCTCAGGTGCTGCATCTTCAATTTTTCTCAGGTGGTTCATCTTCATTATTTAATGAAATACAACAAGGGCAAGTGTAGAGTCTTGCATCTGGGTAAGAACAACCCCATGTACCAGTACAAGTTGGGGACGGAACTGTTGGGGAATAGCACAGGGGAAAGGGACCTGGGGGTCCTGGTGGACAGCACGATGACCATGAGCCAGCAATGTGCCCTTGTGGCCAAGAAGGCCAATGGCATGCTGGGGTGTATTAGAAGGGGTATGGTTAGTAGGTCGAGAGAGGTTCTCCTCCCCCTCTACTGTGCCCTGGTGAGGCGCCGTCTGGAATATGGTATCCAGTTCTGGGCCCCTCAGTTCAAGAAGTACAAGGAACTGCTTGAAAGAGTCCAGCACAGGGCCACAAAGATGATTAAGGGAGTGGAGCATCTCCCTTATGAGGAAAGGCTAAGGGAGCTGGGTCTCTTTAGTTTGGAGAAGAGGAGACTGAGGGGGGACCTCATTCATGCTTATAAATATGTAAAGGGTGACTGTCATGAAGATGGAGCCAGGCTCTTCTCAGTGGCATCCAGTGATAGGACAAGGGGAAATGGATATAAGCTGGAACATAGGAGGTTCTGCTTAAACATGAGGAAGAACTTATTCCCAGTAAGGGTAACAGAACACTGGAACAGGCTGCCCAGAGAGGTTGTGGAGTCTTCTTCTCTGGAGATGTTCCAAACCCGCCTGGACGCGTTCTTATGTGATCTGATCTAGGTGGTCCTGTTCCGGCAGGGGGACTGGACTAGATGATCCTTTGAGGTCCCTTCCAATCCCTAACATTCTGTGATTCTGTGATTCTGTGATCTGTGGGGGTCTTAAATAGCTGGTTTTTACAACATTTTACATTCCCAAACAAATTAAAGCTCTCAGGAATGTAGCTAGTGGTAGGAAGCTGCCTGTCTCTAAGCCCTTTCTGTCAGTGAGTTCAGGAGAGACACAAAACAGTCATGAGAAGCGCTGAGCTGAGCCAAGGAAACAGAAGCTGTGAAGATAGTTTTCCTTTCTGCATTGGACATGCTGGGGAAGGGCAGCGGAGTGTGTGTAATAGAGCAACGCTATGAGTCTGTTCAGTTCATAGGTCAGAAAAAAAGAACAGAATATAAACAGAATACGGGCAAAAGCTTGTAATACAGAATTGTGAAGACTTGAAACCCCATCCCACCATTAAATTTCTCAGCCATATTTCCCCCCTTGAATTTTAGGATAAACCTTATATTCTGAGCTGTACCTCATTCATAGCCTGGCCAGCAGATCACACATTACTATCAATATCTCCGCTCCAGTAGCAAAGAGGAAGAACCTGGCTCCATTAGAGCAGCAGAGAGACAGCAACTAGTGCAGCGGCCCTGAAGAGATAGCCAGAGTACTCTGTGCCGAAGGCAAAGGTCATCATGGAGTGAGAAGAAACACCAGGGTAGTAACTGACTATTGCATGAAAGTGACCAAGAATCTGTTTTTCCACTTTAAACAACAAGACAAGTCTCAAAATTATCTAAACGTGTTTTTTCAGCCTTCCAGAGCATGAAGGGATGCTAATTTCTCCTAATACCACGAATTCCAACATTAATTTTATTCCACAGTGTGATAGTTTGATGTGTGGGGGGGTGTTCTGGTGGCAGGGGAGGGGATTTGCTCCCTGTGCCACCAGATCTGAGTCCCATCCCCCCCCGGGGGAGGTTGAGCCAAATCGGCGCCTCTGCGAATTGCCCTATTTAAGTTGAGACAAAGGGGCTGGAAAGGGGCTTTTTGCTC